GAGAGAGAGGAGAGACAGAGGGAGGAAAAGAGAGAAGGAGAGAGAGACAGAGAGTGAGGGAGGGGGAAGAGGGAGAGAAGGAGAGCGAGGGAAGGAGAGAGACATTATCTGTGGGGTCACTGGTGCTTTCTGGGCTTGGTTGTCTTCTTGCAGACATTTCATCCATCATTCACCATCCTCCTTCTAGCCATTATCTACCCTCTGTGGGATGAAGGACCCTTCCTCGTGTTTCCAACCCATACAGTCCTGAGCTTTTTTTTTTTTTTTTTTTGCCAATTTGGCTCGCCATACTTGCCGATATCGTTGAGCCACTTGTTTCGTATATTTAGAATATACGAAACGTATTTGATATATTTTGAAATGTATGAGGTATTTCAAGGTTATCTTGGTTATCACCAAGGTTTAACCTCAGGCCAACCAGCCAGTTGGAAACACAGCCTGCAAAAGGGACCGCCCAGAGAAAACACTTCCTTCAACAATGACAGGGCAAACCACTTTTGTATAGCAACAGACAGCAAACCCGGTTCTCTTTTAGCACTGATGATGTTACCTAGTTGGGTCACGAAAGATCTGTAAGAAAATAACCAAGCTCAGAGACACCAAAGATCACACAGTCCTCCTCTTCCTCTCCACAAACCCTACTCATCACCCACTACCACAATAACAAAGAGGGCAGACAACACATTCTTAAAACACATCCACTGATGGAGAAATGGTTCCTCTCTCAACAGCCCCAGTCATCCAGCAAGACACTGTGGAGGAGGAAGGGGGGGGGAAAACAAGCAAACAAGCCAGCATGTATCATAGTTACATTATACTTTCACAAGCCTACCTTTGAGCTGTCACTGGCCTCTTTCTGAAGGAAGAACTGTTTCTTAAATTCGTAGTACGCGTTGTACTGATGCCAAGGCTGCAGAAATTCAAATCTGTTAAGGAGGAGACAGAAAAGGTACACAGTTTGTGTGACCCAAAATGGGGCTGGAATTTGGGTCGTTAAGCAACTCCTTGTGGTCCTAAGTTATGTCGGAACCAATTTTAGGACCATTTTTAAAAGGAGATCGTTAAAGGGAATCGCCACAGTTGTTCAGTGAATCCAGCTACGCCAACGGGTGGGGTGTTTTAGGTGGCAAATTGTGGCCATGTGATCACAGATCCTACAACCGATCGTAAATGCAAGCTGGGTGCCAATTGACAGGACGCGCAGGGGGACAGGAGTGTTGTAAGTGCAAATACACAGGTTATAAGTCGCTTTTTTCCAAGGCTGTTGAATCATTTTAAGTTGAGAGCTACTTACTACCGCGTTTCTCCAAAAATAAGACCGGATCTTATATTAATTTTTGTCCCAAAAGATGCATTAGGGCTTCTTTTCCAGTTAGGTCTTATTTTCAGGGGAATTTGGCACTAAATGAGACCTTCTGGTTGACGATATTAACTAGGGCTTATTTTGTGTGTGGGGGGGCTTATATTATAAGCATCCTAAAAAAACCATGCTAGGGCTTATTTTCCAGTTGGGTTTTATTTCCGGGGAAACTGGGTAATATATCTGGTCCTTGACTTACACAGTTCATTTAGTGATCTTGAAAAAAAAAAAGACCAATGGCCGTTTTTCAGAGTTAAAAACCACTGCAGCATCCCCATGGCCACGTGATCAAAATTCAGATGCTTGGCAACTGAACTCATATTTATGACTGTTGTGGTGCCCCGGGAGTCACGTGATTTCTCTTTCGCGACCTTTTGATAAAGCAAAGTCAGCGGGAAAGCCAGATTCATTTAACAACCATGTTACTTACTTAACAACTGCCATGACTGATATAACCACTGTGGCAAGGAAGGTCGCAAAATGGAGCAAAATTCATTTTAACAAGTGCTTAGAATAAATGAGCTGGAAGAGGCCATGGAGGTCTTCTAGTCCAGCCCCCTGATCAAGCAGGAGAACCTATACCATTTCAGATAAGTGAAAACCTCCAGAGATAGAGCACCCACGATTTCTGGTGGCCAGCTGTTCCATTGGTTAATTTCTCCTCATAGTTAGGAAGTTTCTCCTTAATGTCTCGCTTAATGTCAGAAATTATGGGCTCAAATTCGTAAGTCGAGGGTTACCTACATTCCCACTCTGGGAGGGAGATGGATAATTTTGAAAATGTGGTCCAGAAGTCAATATGGGAAAAAAAAAGGGGGGAAACCACCATCCCTCAACTGTAAGTCACGGCTATAATTTATTATTTCCCCACCTAAGGAACCAAAAGGCCATTTGATATTCTGAAAATAATAAATTACACCCCAAGGGCCAGAAGTTACAGATATCTGACAGTCAGGTTTCAAGATTCTTTGGCAATAATGCTTTATCGTTAACTTCCAGGAGTTTCTTGAATTTTAATGTGAGAAACCTCCAATAGGTTACTATGTTTTTCGTTGTTTTCCCCTGAGAAGACCATCAGTAAGAGAACGGGGCAAAGCTACTCGCTTGCGGGTTTATCGTAAAATGAAATCAAGACTGAAGCCTCCCCTACTCACCTCGGATCATTCTTGGCACGAACGCTGGTTTCAAATTTAATCCCATTTCTCGCAACATACTCAGCTAGCTTGTCAATTACAGGTTGGATATCTGGAGGTGGAGGAATGACGGCAACCACTGGAGGAATTGAGCTGGGAAATGTCAAGAGTTGTAAGATTTACACAGGCAGAGAACACAACCTATTAAAATGGGGGAGGAAGCTCATTTTTTTTAAAAGGCATCACCTGACTGAGGACTAAACAGGGAAAAGCCAAGTATTTCAAACAAGGGAAATAACAGAACAAAGGTCCAGGCAGGATTTTAAAAGTTTTAAGACATAAGGTTGAGGAGAGCTGAATGATTCATTCTGGCTCACAAAAATGAAATTCTGGAAAATCTGCAATTATGTTGAAGTGGGGTGGCCACCAATGAGACAAAAAAAAAGGGGGATTGTGAGGATTTTAAAAAAAGTTTTAGACATCCAACTAAGATGAACAGAGCTGAATGATTCATTCTGGCTGACGAACGTGCAATTCTGGAGAAGCTGCAATTATTCTGAAGCAGGACGGCCACCGGTCAAGAGAAAAAAAGAAGTGGTTTGAGAATAATTTTGCACGCGCAGCTTTCTGTCAGGCAATAGGCACCTACTGAAATTCTCTACGTATTCTGCAAAGTTAAGACGCTGTTTTAATTGAACGCCACTCTTTTGGAACAGGTTCTTTCATGGGAGAGATACACATCCACACGCTATTATTTTCACTATACGAAATTCCAGAGCGATATTCATTTCAAATATTTATGTTGTGCAATTAAGAAGAAACGTTAGCGCTATGATTAACCATATCAACTATATTATTCTATTTTTACCTCTTTATTTACTTGAACAGGTAAACTCAAGGCAGCCAACCTAGATGAGGCTTAATCCCTCCTCCTATTTTCCTTACGATGATAACCCTGAGGGCGGTCGGGCTGAGAGAGAGGGACTGGCTTGGAGTCGCTCAGCTGGTTTTCATGGCAAAGGCAGGACTAGAACTCCCAATCTCCTAGTGATGGGTCCAAAATCACCCAATCGGCTTTCATACCTAAAAGACTAGAACTCACAGTCTCCTGGTTTCTAGGCCAGTCCCTTAACCACTAGACCAAATCAGCTCTCAAAAATGAAAATGATAATAATAATAATGATGGAGAACCTGTCCTCATATGGGACATTAGTCCCGCTAAGACAGAACTAGAATTCCCAATCTCCTGGTAACTGGCCCAAGTTATCCAGCAGACTTTCACGCTTAAGGCGGGACGAGAACTCACTCTCTCCTGGTGATTGGCTCAAAATTACCCAGTCAGCTTTCACATGCCTAAGGCAGAACTAGAACTCACCATCTCCTGGTTTTTAGGGCCAGCACCTTAACCACTAAACCAAATGAGCTTTTAAAAATTAAAAAAATAATAATGATGGGATATTAGAACAAAATTAGTTATTGCTGTCTTGATATGGGATACTAGAACAAAATTAATATCAGCAGGCTTTGAGATAGCCAACAGAATATCCCCTCCAGAACGCAAACTTGGGAAAACCCGTCTGGAAAGTGGGTGTTTCACTAAACAGAAATTAAATAGGCTTCTTGCACATTATAAGCCTGCACAGGGCTGGCAGGGGAGGAAAGTATAGATTATTTTTAATGAAAAGATTAATTGCTGACCAAGAAGGCCCTCAAAAAAATGACAAAAAGCCCCCCGAGGATATCATCCATGAAACAAAACTAGACAAGGCAAACATATTGGCTCTTTTGCACTCTTGTCTAAAGCTCAGGCAATTTTAGGATGTAATGAGACACCCTTTTATTTGGGCTGCCATTTTAATTATTAACATTTAATCACTTTAATGTATGCAACTGTCCACTGCCTGGTAGCTGGGAAGCCTCCCTGCCAAAGCCTGGTCTGAAGGAAAACAAAAAACAAAAAACAGTCCAGCCACTCAGAATGGCTGGGAGGCTGCTGGTGTTATGTCAATACACAGGACCCAAGTTTATATAAGTGCAAAAGCTGCACTGGGGCTTATGAAGGGATTCAGGAGAGGCTACCACAACATCTGAACATGAGAAATAAATATAATAAACCCAGAGCAATACAGAAAAACAGAGTTAGAAGGGACCTTGGAGGTCTTCTAACTGTTTGAAATGGGCAGCTTATCAAATTGGAGAAAGAAAAGAAAAGAGAGAGAGAGAGAGAGAAAGAGGGAGGGAGGAAGGAAAGGATGAATGGAAAAAGACATAAAAGAGATATTAAAAGAAGGGATGGAGGGAGGGAGAAAAGGAGAGAGAGGGAGGGAGGGAGGAAGAGAGGGAGGAAGGAAGGAAAACTGATTTCTGATGCGTTTGGAAAAACTCCATTGGAAAAAGAGTCAAGTACAGTATCTCCTGCTATCAAGTCCACATTATCTCAGCGCCAGTGAATTGTTGAGTCTAACCAACAAGCTAGTCAACAGCTTGCATTTACTTTCAGCAGTGGGCATCCTCTACCACCATTAGGAAAAGTCGTTCTGTTACACAAGCAGCCTGTTTGTTACACGATTCGCTCAACAAAACTCTTCCTCTACATAGGCCAGCATAAAATAAGATACCTCGCTGAAGTGCTTGTGCCAGGTAATGCGCCGCTCGTGTCTTCGCTGGCTTCCAAAGACGATGGTGGCGGCGTCGTGCCGGGAGGCGGAGGCGCTGTGATGGTGGCTACGCCAGTGGTGCTTGACACCGTCACACCCGCTGGCAAGGCGCTGTAGTAAGTAGCCATGTCAATCCCTGGGGGCGGTGGGGCGAGGCAGTACGTTCCATCGGGCAGCATGTAATAGCTGTAGTACATGGCTGCCATTGTTGCTATATTTTTTTAAAAAAAGAGACAATCAGTACTTTGACCAGCGTGGACAAGAAAAGCCAACTCAAACGGCAGTATGGATCCTTGCCCCCAATCCTACAGCTCTGCACGCAGCTGCAACATGCATACAATATTGCTTTTGGTTCAACTATGAAGTTATTTACAACAGGGAGGTTCTTTGGTGCTTTCTTGAGCTTGGCTGTTTTCTTGCAGATGTTTCATGACCCAACTAGGGAACATCATCAATGCTAGAAGGGAAAAGGGTTTGGACTCTGTTTTAAGTGTTGGTGGGAATGTTCTTGGTGATTTCTTGATTAGGTTATTATTTACTGTTCAACTGTCTGAGGTGGATAGTCCTTGACTTATTTCATTTAGTGACCATTCAAAGTTACAACATTGAAAAAAGTGACTTTAGGACCGTTTTTCACAGATAAGAGCTCTGCACCATCCCCAGGACCACGGGATCGAATTACAAATGCTTGGCAGCTGTTTCATACATATGACTGTTGCTGCGTCCCAAGGAATTGTGATCCCCTTTTGCGACCTTCTGACAAGTTTTACTTTTACTTTCATTTCTATAAAGCGTCAACAATTTCTCTTTCTTTCTTTCTTTCTTTCTTTCTTTCTTTCTTTCTTTCTTTTTCTCTCTTTCTTTCTTTTTCTTTCTTTCTTTCTTTTTCCCCTCGACTTCAGCCATTGATACCATTTTACTCCAGACGTCATAGTACTCTGTCTCACCCTTATCCTTAATTTCTAGAGTTAGTCTGTCCACCACTGTACAGACTACTATTTTCCTTATTATTTCACTTTCGATAGGGGTGCAGGCTCCTGAATCTTGATCACACGATCATTGGGCTGCTGCAAAGGTTGTAACTGTGAAAAAGATTGTGAAGTTGCCTTTTTCAGTGCTGTCGTAACTTTGAACAGTCGCTAAGTGAACAGATATAAGTCGAAGGCTACCTGGACACGCAGAAACGTCCCGGTGTAAATTTGAATGGAAGAGCTAAAATCTATAACGGAAGGTGGAAATTTGGAGCCGTATAGGATGCTGAGAGTCCAGATCAAAGGAGAAATCTACAGGTAGGTGACAGGTACACATTATGTTCCATTAAATGCTAATAAGGGTAGAATCGCACATGAGTTTTGGGGAAAATGGTGCGATGTTATGAATACAAGACAATCCAGGGAGAAAAATGCCCTCTTATGTGACATCAGAGGTTGGGTAGGAATGAGACCAGAGAGAATATAAAGTGATGATTGCGTTATTATTTGGATCTTGAGAGATTATTATGATTATCTGCTTAGAAAATTGTGTGCTTGTTTTGAAAATGCAGCTCTACTCCAATGTACATCCATTGAAGGATCTGATATAAGCCTGAAAGTACCGCTGATTTTGATCATTTAGGGTGAGAGCTTGATATATGGGAGTGAACCATTCTGAATGCTCTACCCGTCATTTCTTGATACAGGCAGTCCTTGACTTACAACAGTTCACCTAGCGACTGCTGGAAGTTATGACAGCACTGGGGAAAAAAAGTGACTTACGACTTTCACATTTACGATCTCTGCAGCATCTCCATCAAAATTCAGAGGCTGGGCAATTGGTTCATACTTATGACCGTCGCTGTGTTCCAACTGTCACAAGATTCCCCCCCTTCTGATCAGCAAAGTTGATGGGGAAGCCAGGTTCACTTAACAACCTGGCAAGAACAGTCGTAAAATGGGGCAAAAGTCACTTGACAAAGGTCTCACTTAACAACAGAAATGTGGGGCTCAATTGTGATTGTAATTGAGGACTAGCTGTACTGTTAAGAGGGGAACTTGAAAATAAACCAACTGCAAAAGGAGAAAAATAACACAGCATGTTCCAAAAAACCCCTTACTTATAACCACAGTGTCCTTGACTTATAACCACAATGGCACTCAAAATTTATGTTGCTAAATGAGACATTTGTCAAGTGAGTTTTGCTCACTTGACAAATGTCATTTTACGACCTTTCTGGCTACAGTTGTTAAATGAATCATTGTAGTTGGTTAAGTGATTCTGGCTTCTCCATTGACTTTGTTTGTCAGAAATTCGCAAAAGAAGATCCTGTGACCCCGGGGACAACTCAACCATCGTAAATGAGAGTCAGTTGCCAACTGACTGAATCTGGATCAGGTGACCTTGAGGGTGCTGTAACGGTCTTAAGTCACTTTTTTCCAGTGACGTCATAACTTTGAACGGTCACTAAATCAACTATTGTTAAACCCCTAACCCTAACGCCCAACAGAATGAATGGAATGAATGGACATAAACAACATTTTAAAATGTTTTTTTTTTTCAATAAAATTTGAAAAATGTCAGAAAGGCTGCACAAACTCTTCCCCCTCCCCTCAAAAAAAAAAAAAAAAAAAAAAGTGCATCCCCCCTGCAGGAAGTCTGCAAGTAGAAACTGTCCTGATGGCTGGCGTGAATAGAAATCTCTGCAGTTTGCAAGCGTTTCATTATTTTATCAATGCTATAAACGTGCATTGCAGGAATGCCGATTGAAAACAGCTCAGCAAGTTTACGGAATAATCACCTTGCCTTCGTGCGTTGTGGGGAGTTTGCATAATTCATGCCTTTCAAAGGCAGGGCGATAAATCGAGAGCCTGTTTGGGCGGAGAGCTTTTTAATGTGTTATTTTTATTAAATGTACAGGTATGAATCCTTCACTTCTGAAACACCAGCTGACCAAGCCACTAATAACAGAGCGGTTTTAATTCTACAGGCAGAATCCTAAGGGTTATTGCAGCCATCTGCTCTTAGTGCAAGTCTTCACGCCAAAATGTATCCCAGGAGACAGCTGCTTTAATTCTTAATTTTAGAGTTCTCTGTCAGCCTTCCTGAATTATTTAGGAAAACAGGATGGAGACATGTCTGAAAGTGACAGACAACAAGGCCGGGGACTGTAATTAATTATAATATTTCATTAATAAAACAGAGCTGATGCTTCCTGCAATGGCTTAACAACAGAATAATTCTAGCCCGGTGTTTTTAAGCTTAAAGGGAAAAATTCTGGGATAAGGTGCATCTCTTAAGATGCATAACAGACTTCTAAATAAAAATAGATCTGGTATCTAAATGGGGGGGAGAAAAAGCATCGTAAAAACAAAGCTTGGAATGATAATAAGTCTGTACCTATTAAGAAGAACAAGGTAAAAGCCTTTTACAAGCCCAGCTTATACCTAAATGAGCTTCACAAGGCTCTAAAAACAAGGAGTTTTATAGAATTGTGGCAATGCTTTTCTGCAACACAACATTACGCTACCACTCTTCTGATATAATGGCAGTGGTAAAAACAAAAAAAACCCAAACCAAACCAGTCTCTTAATATCAAGTGCACGAAAATAAAAGATAGAAGCCCTGCAATTACGAGAAAGTTTCTTGAAAGAAAATGCTGGAAAATTATTATTTTTGGGGAACTAGCAAACCTAGAATTACTGTTTGGGGAAGAGATGGAGATATTTTTTTTTAAATGTATGGTAGTTGTCATGTTCCTGGTGGAGACTGACTCTGAGGGAGAGGAGGAACAGCCAACAGGGAGTGGAAGTGTGGCTCCGGAGGTTGTGGAGGAGGCTGGGGAAGGGCAGAGGCCGGCTGAGCAGTCAGAGGAGGACCCAGGCCCATCCCCTCTCCTTCTTAGGGCACGCAGGGAGGAGAGGATAAGGGAGGGATGTGAAGGGCATGATCTATGGGGGAGGAGAGGGCCTTGATCTCTTCATGGGCTGCAGCTGTGACAACTGAATAAGAGGACAGACATGTGTATGGGTGAATGCTGGAAACTAAGCATGGAAATATCTCTAGTTTATGGTTCCTCTCTGAGTTTGGCGTCCTTCCCAGTGTGTGTTCTGTTATCTGTGGACGTCCTCCAGCCCTTATCTTGCCTGGTTTGTGTTGTTTTTTCCCTCCTTCTTGTAACTGCTTGTGTGGGAGATTTTTGTCTTCCGTCAAGGATATTTGGAGCTTGGAAACAAAGTGAAGGAATAAAAGAGGCTTCACCGAGTTTTTGTGACTGTGTTTATTTTGTATTTCCCCCCCCCCCCAACACAGTAGTCCTTGACCTCCCAACTATGATTGGGGCCAGAATTTCCATTGCTAAACTAGGCAGTTGTTAAATGAGTCACATCCCATTTTGAGACCTTTGGGGCCATGGTTAAGTGAATCGCTGCAAGTCACTAAGTGAGTCAGGCAGATGTTAAGCGAATCGGGCTTCCCCCATTGACTTTTGCCTGTTGGAAGCCAGCTAGGAGGGTCGGAAATGGTGATCATGTGACCACCAGATGCTGTGATCATCATATACATACCTGCTGATTGACAAGTGCTGGAATTTTGCTCGCTTGACTGTAGGGATGCTACAACAATCATAAATGTGAGGACCGGTCTTAAGTCACTTTATTTGGGGGGGGGGGATAAATTTACATTCCAACCCACCCCCAAACAGAGTGGTCCAACCATAGGATAGTCTTACAGGTAGTCCTCAACTTAGAACAGTTCATTTAGTGACTGTTACAATGGCCCCTACAATGGTCCCTTTAATACCTCCAACTTTGCCCCCAATGTCCAGGTTACCTTTGGCTGGAGAAAAAACTCTCCCAAGAACAGTCTTTAAGTGGAGGAAATTCAGTCCGAAAAGAAAGTACATACAAACTGTAAATAGAAATTCACACAAACCACGCTGCAGTAAATTAACTGGACAGGGCAGGAGAAGGAATTGCAGACGGGAAAGCACGGAAAAACTCACACCGTTGGGAAGACGCCAGGAACCCAGATAAGCCTCAACGAAACCAGATAATTCATGATTTGCTCCCAACAACTTGCTGTGCGCAGCTTCCCTTTTTAAACACTGCGTTCTCAGCTGCAGCTAACGAAGGGAATCAGGGCCCTTTCCTCCCCCATAAGCCACACAATTCACATTGCTCCCTTCTCCATTCCTCCCCGTGTGCCCTAGGATGAAGAGGGGGTGGGTCTGGGTCCTCC